AAACACAGTAAATATAAACACAGTAAATATATAAACACAGTAAATATTAAAACACAGTAAATATAAAAGCACAGTAAATATAAAAACACAGTAAATATTAAAAACACAGTAAATATTAAAACACAGTAAATATAAACACAGTAAATATATAAACACAGTAAATATTAAAACACAGTAAATATAAAAGCACAGTAAATATAAAAACACAGTAAATAGTAAAACATGCACTGACCCAACTCCGCTGATGAACCGCAGCAGCAGGAAGAGCCAGAACCACGGCGCCACGCTGGCCAGACCTCCAAACACCCCGTTTACCGTCAGCGACACGACCAGGACTCTGCGGCGCCCCCTCTGGTCGGCGAGGTATCCCCACATGTAGCCGCCCAGCATCATTCCTGCACAAACCAGAACGGTTCAGACGTCGTCACTGGGACGTGTGTTCCAGTTTTCCCACACTGCGCAGTGAGCCGTGCCATCTTCAGCTGTTTTTACAAAATGAAAAGAGCCGGATTAAAACGCTCTCCTGATACAAGTCGGGATGAGTCAACTACTTGAGTTTCTTTAAAACCTGTCGTGGCTTGTGAGATATTTTGCTAACAGGCGAAAACATCGCTGCCCTTTTCCCTTGAGCGTTGGGAGATACTGAGTGGATAAATCCTGTTTGTGACCAAATACTCAGTTTCATCAGTTACGAGTCATGAACTCAGAAACATTTAAAACGCTGTGATATAAAAGAAAAGCCGCTGATTAACGCCCGACTGTTTGAATCTTGATCAAGCATCACACTGTTGTTTTCCTGTTTACATTACTCCTGGCTGCTACTATCCGTTTCGTACGTTCTTCAGCATCTTTCTCGTCCCGCAGTTTTCAATCGGTTTCAACAAGTCATGAATCAAAACGTTCGATCCTGCTATGACTTCTGCTATTGATGCATCTTTAGCTTTTTTAAATATTTAGCCTTTTCTGACATTTTCTTCCTCCTAGAAAAGGAACTGAGCTCATTTTACATCCTTCAAACGTTTACATCCGTTTACAGCGTTTTACTGCTCCTTTCACATTTTGTTCCCCTTCAGCTTCTTTCAGTTCCTTTCTGCAAATTTAAACTTGTTTTTAGCTACTTTCAGCTGTTTTGTGCTCCTCTCAGATTCTT